GAATCCTGGTCTTGCAGTGACCCCATCAGTGATGTCAGCACTTTTTTTCTTTTCAAATTCAGTTTCCCTATCAGAATAATAAAAAAAAACTGGCTAGTTGTGATTGTACACCTTCCTTCCAATCTTTACTATGATTATAATTATTTTGTGGTATTCCTATCAATTCCAGTTCCACTGGCTTTGAAAATTGCCAAGACCACATCAGGCATAGTCAGATTTTTTTTTTTCCTAGCATAGATTTTCAGGGAATGAGCAAGAGCAGGAAGAGGCAATCAAAAAAAAAATCACATCCTGACAGCAGCTGCTTGCAGTGCAGAGAAACATCACTGAAAACATTCTCTGCTTTTTTTCCTTCCCTACAAATTTTCAGTTGGAAATCAAGAGCCAAACTACTACTTTGTAGTCCTCCAACTTTCCACAGACCACCAGCAAATCGCTGCAAGGAACAGCTTGGGAATGAACCTCAGGGCTCTATAACTGCAAAAGCACCTAAGGACAGATGTTAGGGACAAAAATGAATAAATGCATTAAAAGACTTCTTGGCATTAATAACAGCTATGTGCCAGAGAAGCCTGAGAAAACTGTCTTGAAGTGAAAACCAATTTTGGTTGGGAGGGATTTCTGGAGGTGATCTAATCTAAGCCCCTGCTCAAAGCAGAGGTAATGTCGAAGTTAGATATGTGCAAATATTTGCACATATTTTCTATCTCCAGCACATATAAAGAAATAGAAAAGTGTATCTAGTGAGCATATATATAGATATTATATACACACACACGAGACAGAAAAAACCTGCAGCAGTGGAATCACTTTCCAGCACTAGGATCTGCTCCCAAATGAATAATGACTTTGAGTAATGGCAAGTGAGCCCATTTTTGACAAGATTCTCAGTCATATCCCTCAGCAGGTGATGGGACAATGTAACCTTGGCCAAGTACCCCTGGGATGCCAGACACTGGCACATCCTCCCACGCCAGAAGCACTTCCTAGAACGAGTTTGTGCAAGCAAAATAATTCAAGATGACAGCAAATTACAGATACAATGGAAAACAGGAATATCTGACTTCCCCTCCTTCCCTTGATCTCCTTCCAAAGGGAGTGAAGAGCTACATCCTTTCTCATCTGCCCTCCACACTGTGCAGCCCTCAGGAACAGGCTCTATAGTGATTTAGAATCATGATTCCTTGGGCATGGAATGAAATGCCTGGAATGCCCCATAGGCTGGGCACTCTGGGCACCACGACCACAAGGACAGGAACCTCCAGGACCTTGAGGTTTTGTTGCTTCCCAAAATTCCCATTGCCAATGTTGCCTCTGGAAGGGCACGTGTTTGACCAGGAGCTCTAATGACATCTTGGGCTTTCTGCCCTTCCTGTCTCCAACACTTTCCCTGCCCATGAACCAACATTGGCCAGCCTGCCCTTAAAATGTGACCAGGTATGGAATGCTAGACAAAGGACAAGGATCTGTGTAGTATTTCCCACCACTAACCTTTTTTTGGTTTAACTAAAGTTTCCATTTGTGTATCCGACCCCCTGTTGGAGCACTTGCACACACCCAAACCCAGGGCTGCATTTCCCACCTTGTCTCACTACAAACAGCCCCAGCATTGACCACTTTTGCCTCACTTTCCCCCATAAGAAACATGAGCTCACATTTTGTTGGCTCAATTAATCTGGCTCTGTCCTCTTCACCCTAGAAATCATTGCACATGCAAAGAAGGGCTCACGCTTTAGCAGCACTATTGATCCACCCAGACCTTTGGGTGAGGAGTAAAGCCTCTTTAATTACTTTGGCTGACTTTCAGGTTTGGTGTTGTTTGTTTTTTTTTAACTAGTACCACATTTTAGTGTTGTTATCACTTAGCCTAGATTCGGAGTTTTGCTCCCCAGAGAAACACTTCCTACCTCAGCCTGGCCTGCCCAAAATCAGAAATGGCCATTCTTCTCCCTTCTCTAAGGATTTGATAACCCCTACACTTTCCTTAGCCAGAGGTGTTTTGACCTTTAATTAAAAGGAAAATTTGTTGTCTTCCATTCAGGAGGCAGCAAATAATGAACTCATTAAAATGAGGTTAGTGCTCAGGCCTTAGAGCAATAAGAGCCCAAGTCTCATTAGCAGCTAACAATCCAGAGCACAGCACATAAATAAACCTAATATGGCAGAGCAAAATGCCTTGGTGCATTAAATTCGAGCAGAATCAAATGTTTACAGTCAATGATGTCTGGGGCATGAAGTTTTAATGTACTTAATGAAGGAAAGCAAATTGCTTCCTATTAGGCATGAAATGTTCCTGCAGAAATCGCCCCAAAAAGTTTATTATGTAAATGAAGGACAGAGTTATAATTAAAAAGGACAGAGCAGGAAAATATCACTTCTTCCTAATAGATGCACCAATTATGAAGAATAAAGACATGGCAACTTCAAATCCACAAAAGGTAATTATATGGATTAATGTAAAAGGCTGCTGAATGTAAATGCAACATAAAGAAGAAACTATATCTTGTGGGTGTCAGAGAGAGGCTTCATTGACAAAGCAAAGAATCAATTAACAGAAGGAAAACCGTGAGTTTTTGAGAGATTCCAGGCAATTAAGGGTTTGTGTTTGAAAGAACAGCTTAGATTACCTTAAAAAACACCCTCTTTTTGCTTAGCCTGGCATGGAAACATGTTCCATGTGCAGGTGAGTTCCATGGTTCTTTCCTTGGAGAATGATTAAGTATGATCTATTTAACTGTTTTTTCATATTAAGGATGTAGGAGACATTACTCCCCTTCCCCCAAACAGTCAAGTAGTGACAAAATAAGTTTGGACTGGTTTAACTGACAAGATCTTCTTAGTACTGAAAAGAGGTGAGGTCATAAAACTGAAATTTGGCTGCACATTATATAAATTAATATGCATATATGGAAATGCCAATGAAATAAAAAAGCCTTTAGGATCAAGCCAAATCCAGTTTGAGTGACAGATTTGCCCTTTAGACAGAGAAAAACGCTTGACACGCTGCAGGTTATAGGATTTACATCTTAATCCTTGCTCTGTGTTTGCAGTGAGACCTCACCAGGCTGGAAGGCTCCTGCCCATCCCACAGTTCTGTCATCTTATGGAGATGTGAGGGAAAAGGAGAGGGAAAAGCCAGGCTGATCTAATGATGATCGTTTCGTGCACCTCCTTGCACTATATGTTAAGTGACGATAATTTCTCGAGATGTTCTTTCCTCAAAGGGAAATTAAATTGATTTTGCTCAGCCCATCAGTCTTTCTCAACGTCTCTAAAATGCCGTACATAGCCCGGAAAATGATGTTCTAAAATGTAATGACTCAGATTCCGTGCTTCTGACTTTAATGGTGTCAATTTGGTGCCAGGTTTTGCCAGCTGGGGGTTCTCCTCAATGTCTCAGCTAACAGTGGTGTTGATCTCCGAGGTTTTACATTTTAGTGAGCGTTTAGTTGTTATATATTATGTAAATATAGTCCCACATGTGAAATTGTCACAGGGCTGAAATAATCAACTTACTAAATGTCTGGCAAGACAGGCTGCAAACCATACTGCTACCTTAATATTTAATGCTAAAGCACGAGATTTACTGTCCTTGCTTTACTTCATTTCCTTTAGCAAGGAGAAGAATTTGCTTGGTGACTGCTGTAGCTGGTAAACACCCTCTTTGCTTTACACCTTCCTTTGCCACCTAATAAATGGTTCTATTTAAAAAATGAAGGCAGAGGCACAATGCCTGCCAACCTTTTGTGTCACACTCACACACCTCAGCTGCTTAAACCTGGTGTCATCATTTACACCGGACCGGAGATACCTTTGGTTTACTGTCCCAGGTGGAGGTGGTGGTTGTTGCAGTTTAAATTAGAGCAGTGGGCTCAGCAAAAAGGCAAAAAACCTATTTTCCTGTGATGTTAAGTGAAATTAGCAATGACCACACAAAATGTGATTTTTTCAAATGAGGGACAACATCAGCTGGGCTGGGAGCGCGTGTAAAGCACCGCAATCATTTTATCGCTGAACTCTGCAAGAAGGTGATCGATAGAAATGTTATTAATAGATAATAGGAGAAGTTCTCGAGAGCCACATAATGGAGACGCCAAAAATTGATGAAAATAAGAGTTTATAACCCATTCAGCATTGGCAAGACCAATAGGGAGATAAATGCACTGCCCATCTCACATGTAGCTCGCTCACATTCTGTGGGCTGGTGATTGGAAGTGCACAAGGAGCAGCTTTAGAAGCAGTGCCAGGTTGACAACTAATAGTAAATGTAAATAGCTCACACAGACTGAACCATCCTTTCTCCTTCTCCACTAACTGGAAATATGTCCAAGGAAAAAATGGATAGGTGAGCAAGACTACACCTATTTCTTCTATAAGCAGCACCCTTTCCCCCCATTTCATTTAGAGTGGGCCAATCTTTTACCTGAAGGAGAGACTAATAATAGACAGGGATTTATTACCTGACCTGGACATCTCTTGTACCATAGATCAAAACTAGAATTTTGCTCCTTCACACTTAGGCCTCAGTTTGCTATTCAGACACAATCCATAATGTTTCTGCAGGTAAGTCAATCCCAGTGCCTCCCTGTCTGGATGGCAAGTAGTATTCCTAATTTTACTGCGGGTTTTAAGCACATTTTATCAAGCTTCAGCAGTAACCCAGAGCATGGGGGACTTGATGAGCCAGTATATTGCTGTCTCTGAATGGCTGGATCCAAGTCCTGCCATAGATCACTGCCACAGGGGATAATATCTTGGTCCAAGCCACAGAACCGTCCCCTCCTTGGGTACTTAGGTACTATCACCAGCATTTCTAGACCATCAGACCCTGATGTAACAGTCTCATAAAAAAGAATGAGCCCAAAAGAAAATGTGAAGCATTTTAACAGTATCTTCTTTTTTTTTTGTATCTCCTCAGCTGGACACAACTTTTAAAATGAGGCGTTCCAAAAATCAATACCAACTTTTCTAAATGCATCTTAATTTCTTATTTATTTCAGGCTTTACTAGAGACCCAAAATTTACTGCGCACTCAGGTTGCAAATTTTACCTTCAACCTTGGATTTTCAGGAAAATTTTACCACACAGGTAAGAAGGAACTTCATGCTCTCAGGTAGCTGCAGTTAAATAGGGGACAGAATTTCAAACCTAGCTTTAAACACGCCCTTTTTAAATCATACAGTGAGCCAGTGGAGCAGTGGGAAATACATGTTCCCCCAGTTTAGCAGCCAGTGTCCAAAGGGGTAAAGTTGCACTGTGGATGAGCTGCTCAGGCACATGAGGATGCCCTTGGTATTTTCCTGAAAGATGTGTGGTAGTAAATCTCAGGCACAGTAGCTGCTGAGATATCTTTGATTCCACAGGGCAGCACAGAAGACGTGCTAAGGGTTTTTCCTGGCAAGATGAAACATAAAAGATTGGAAAAATCCTGTTTCATAACCTCTGAAGAGGCAGAAGCGTTTGAATGGATGCACAAGATTTTGTCGTGCCTGGGAAGGTGATCTGTCTCAGGGATCTGCAAATCAGGAGGGATGATAAAAGCAAAACAACATGAAAAGGAATTTGTCCTGAAACCCTGCTCTCTCCACACCAAGGGCACTAACAGGCTGCACACTTGCACTGTTCCTGTGGAACATTAGGCACTTTTACTGCTTCTTCTCCTCCTCCTCACGACCCCTTTCTCATTTTTGCTCCATTTCTCCCCAGCACAATACCCCTTTTTAAAAATTTTATTTCTTTTCCTCCTCCTTTGCCTTCTCCTTAACACTTTGCTGCATCTCCACTCAGGCTTCCCTCCGCTGCCACTGAGCCATGAGGATCCCTGGTGGATCTTTTGCCAAAAGAGACTCACTGCAAGGGAGAACCTCCTGTCCTTCTCCTTTCCTAACCCCATACCCTTCCCACCTTTGAGGATCAGCTCCAAAATCCTCAGGTGTCAGCACATTTGGTGACATTCAGCACATTCAGGGAAGCTGGGATGCTCATCTGGAGCAGAGGAGGCAGCAGGAGGATGGGAGGGTGAGTTTAAAAGCTGGGAATGATGCAGTCCCTGTTTCCATGGACCATGAGGCAGCTGTGGAGGAAGGGCAGGTCACCCCAGGAGAAGGGAGATGAGGAAGCCTTTGAGGGCTGAGCAGAGAGAAGGCAACCAAAATGATGTATTTGTCCCCCTGTCCCTAAGTCCAGGCTGTTTTCCCCTTGTGCAAGCACATAATGCTGAGCAACTGCTGCCCAGGAAACCCGACAGACTGAGGATACAGGGGGGAGAGCCTGAGAAAAATGAGAGGGAGAGAGAGATGGAATTACTTGCCTGGAGTCATATAACAAGGCAGTGGCAGACCTGTGATCAGAGAGCAACTTTGGAGACAGAACTACAGTGTTCTCCTTGCTTCATCTTGACCTGCCTGTGTAGTTACTCCTTCTGGAGATTAATTGGGCACACACTTCATACAAGAAACCAAACAAAAATAGCCTGAGGTGCTGAGCTGCTCTAAAGCAGGAGCTGCTTGGCTGTGGCCATCAGTGTCCACTGTGGAGAAAAGTGGTCCAAGGAAGGGAGGAGATGGAGAAAGGGATGATTTTTTTAATGAATATTATGACATACTGGACAGTGGCTGGCAGAAAACATGCAGCCTGTCTGCAAGTCACCCCCCTGACTTGCCAATGTATTTTTCCTTCCTTCATCCCAACACCCTCCACGCTGCCATCAGCTGATACAATGCTGAAATATAACAGAGAAAATAGAAGAATATGCATGTGTGCCATCCCCCTAAGGCCCTCCAGGCTCCCAGGAATAGCACAGAAGCACTTCCAAGTTGAAGGATGTCGTGGCCTCCACGAAGGGACCTGGACTCAGTGGTGCAGCTGGGTTTTTAACTGAGCACTTCATTTACAGGTTGAGACGGTGTTTTGTCATAACAGCTGAGTGGAAAGGTTTCAAAGTATTCTCCATGCAATATACACTTTATTGACTCATTATAAATAAAGCATGGAAAGGTGTTCTTTAATTACTGGAAATGTGGCTTGTTTACCCAGAGAGGCTTTTAGTATCAGATATTCAACGTGTTTTATTAGCAGGCTGCAACTGCTGTGCCTTATTGACTTCCTTAATGTGTGAGTTTGTTCTCCTTTCCAAGACTTGGATCATTTTAAAACTGCAGGAGGGAGATGAGTGTGGGGATGTGTTGGCAGATTTAACAGTTATACATTTCCATCCAAAGACATTGCTGACATCTGTACCACAATAGCTGACACATCAGCAACGCTGCTCATCTCACCACCACCATCCCCTCCGTGGCACTGAAAAACTCCACGCTGCAGATTTAACACCACTAACAAAAAAGTTTTAAAATATTAGGATTTCATATGATGCACAAACGAACTTGGACATATGACCTGTGTAAAGAGCGCTCCACATCCCAAAGCAGGTGTATGATTGCAGGTTAAAATGAAGAAAGTTACTTAGACAGTGTTGATTGTACAAGAAATTAAACCTCAAAATCCCATGTTTTGCCTCCAGTACTCTGAGTAAAGGGTTGGGCAGCAATATTTAAACAATATAAGCACCCACCAAATGCTCCACTAAAACTTTACATGAGATTATTTTTGAAATACCACGACTTAAGAATTCATAAACTCGAACAATCCTCTTTCCCAAGGTTTGCAAAGAAAATTGTCCTCAAAAGGAACACCACCAACAACTGTTAAACTTCCAACATCTCTGCTTCAGCTCTGCCATTACAGGATGGGGCTGTTTCTCTTCACACTGGAAAGTGTTGTGCTTCATCTTGTTTGATTTTTGTTACAGTAAAAAGGTGCAAAGTTTGATTAGTTGCATATCTAAATTTACAAAGTAATGAGTAGGAAAAAATAGGATTTTAAAGCATAGGTTTTAATAGTGACATTACTTCAAGAACCACACTCTACTTCAAAACTTAATAAGGCACTAAATTATACTCTGACCTAAATCTTCTGTGAGATGATTGTAGTTCTTTATATATTTCAAATATCCACTTTTTTTTCCTCTTCAGCCCTGCCTTTGGCTTATCAACGATATCTTCACTTGCTTCACAAGCCCCATTTTCTCTCTCCTCTGTCCTATTTTGAAAGCCTGTGTTAAGTTTCTTCCCTTGCACATGGCTGAGTGACTGCAGGTGAACCACACATCCCAGAAAACAAGCCAGCAGTCACTCAACAAATGCAGGATACAGAGGGAGCAGCCATCCCTCCCTTCTTTCCAGTAAGGAATTACCTGGTAAACAAGGTTGTTTTCTTTCTCCAGCAACACTTCCATCAGTGGGAGCAACTTCCTTAGAACTGGCAGAGTGAGGGGAGCAAAGGGATTCGGGGGCTCCAGGAGAAAGTTTCAAAGGAATGTTCTCCTTGTGTAGTGGCATTCTTCAAAAACCACTGCAGAAGGGAATAATAAAAGTGAAGAGCTGAAGTGCATGCACTGAACAGGCATCTCTGCATGTTCCTGCCAACTAAACACTGACATCCACGCAGCCTTTTCTCCCAATGATTTTTGCAACACATTAAAAAGCCTTGTAAGAAGACAAGATCCCTGTGTTTGCCTCACTACCCTGATTTTGGCAATTATTCCTTCCACTGGAGCAAAATGAAAGCTTTTAAATGGTAAAGGAACGCAGAGGAAAGCTGCTAATAAACCAAACATCATGGAGTTATCTGAGGGTGAAGTTACTGGAATGTCACTGTGCCTTTCCAGTTTAAAAAGCACGGCACACACACCTGCAGAGGGTGGGAGCAGCGTTGTACCCTTCCCCAGATGGAAGGTTTTCTGGGATATAACCACACATCCTCTCTTCTGCCTGAAGCAGATCCTCCTCACTAGCACAGGAGGTTTGATTGGTTTGACTTCAAGATTAAATCTGGCAAAAAACTGAATACTGACCCCTAGTAAACATTTGGAAGCCCTTTGCCATTGCTGCTGCATGCTTTCCACCTAATTATATTTTGAAACTACTGCAAATTTGTTTCACACTCCACCAAAAATTATCAGATTTCAATTAACCAAGGCTAATAAAGAGGCAGTTACAAGGGGGATGGAGGGGTGGCATTGATCAGACTTCATTATCACCCATGTGTTGTCTTTATTAAGAGTATTTTCTACTTAACAGTGACATTATTATCAGGACAAAATGGAAAATAACAGACACATGCTGAACCTTTCCTGCTTTAATACTGATCCAATGTCATCCTTTGTCCAGCTTTCAAAAGACCTGGCAACCAGCATTAATACTCCTGACACTGTTTTGTCCCATTAAATCCAAGTCATCAGGTTATGGTGATGTAAAGATAGTGTGGCATTAAAATTAGGCCAATAGAGAAAATGGGGGGGGGGGCTTTTAAGATCACATACACTAAAAAAAAAAAAAGAAAGAAAATCCTACTGTTTTTATTTAATATTGGTGTTGTTTATAAGTATAACAATAGCTGCTAACATTTTAGCCTTGTGTGATATACCCCCAGCACAGTGAGACACTCAGGTCAAGGACACCAGGTTTTATGGCAGCCTCTTCTGTGTTTAAAAACCAATGATGGGCCTTTTTTTGCTGTTGCTTTTCTATTATCTTTTTTTCCCTCCCTTTCTTTCTCTTGCAGGGACTGAGGAGGAGGATGAAGGTGATGACCTGCTGTTGAGATCAGTGGATGAGTTCTGGTGGTTCCCCCACATGTGGAGTCACATGCAGCCCCACCTCTTCCACAACGAGTCCTCGCTGGTGGAGCAGATGATCCTCAACAAAGAATTTGCAATAGTGAGTAGAAGTTCCCGAAAGATTCACTAGGATACCTCTGTCTATATGACAGCTGTGCATTTACATAGAGAAGCAAAGGCAGAAAGGTTAGAAACTGAGCCCAAAAAGAGCCTTTCTGCAACTCAAACTTGGGCTGAATTTTGTCTCGGCCTTTTCCACTGACACAGGTTTTCTGGGGAGGGAGCAACCCCTCATCCAAGCATCCTTGTGAGATCACAGGGAACACAATCAGTGGGAACTCAGCAGGTACAGCTGATCTTTAACCTTTAGGAAGGGGTTTGTACACAGGTTATCAGTTCCCTGAAGTCTGGCACAAATATCCTCACCAGGGGAGGGAGAAAGCTGCAGTGAACCCTACACGTGTATGGTTTGGGAGAAACCTTGACAAAGCAAATAAGGGAAGCTGCTGGATTTTTAAAATGAGCTGCTTGGAAATATACTTTTTACATAGCTAACCTGTTGCTAATCATGACAGATAATGCTGTTCCTTTCCCTTTTCCTCATTTGTGCTGCTGTTCCATCCTCCCCACATTGCCCAGAGCTCAGAGCACTCGTACTATTTACAGCCCTTTCAGGGTAATTCTGGTGGCTTATTGAGCAGGGCAAAGAAAACCTGGAATCTACAAATGCTGGCTTTGGTAAAGACACTGTGTGGTCTGTGAGGAGGCCAAGGAATGCCAAGCAGCCAGAGCCACTCAGAGGAGCAGAGTGATACAGTGGGGCTTTCCCAGATGCTTCGGAAACAGAAATCTCAGCCCTTCCCATCTCCCAGAGGCCAGGCCCCCTCCTCCCACCCCTCACATGAGCCAAGGCACATCGGGGAAAAAGGCAGAGGCAGATGCCTGAACAAGCAGTTGGAAGCAATTTATTGCCTTGTTTATGAAAATGTTTTCCTAACAACCTTTAAAGAAAATTAATTAAAAGTGGCTTAACTGTTTAGTCTTCTTGCCAGACTTCCCCCTTTCCCATCTCCTGTTAGTATAGAGGCATTTTGGATGACTTCTCTTCCTTCCTACAATTGCTGTCAGCCTCATTCCTGCCATGGCCTTTTGTGTAGCCTGGCCCATAGACTCAAAGAGAGTTGAGAACTTAAATGCAGGAGTCATTTTTTAAATAATCCATATCTCAAAAATACACAGCCCCTTTGTCTTTAAACCTATGGGGAAATTTTCCTCATGCTTTCAGGAAACACGAAGTCCTCTAGGTCAAACCACCTTCAGGAGTAAAATCTATAGCATAGCCTGAAAACAGAGCTGGTAATAGAGTCTGTTTTTAACTTCAACTCCAGAAAGATAAAGCCCGTCTCCTGAAGGGTAGGGACTCCTTAGGGTGCCTATAAATAAGGAGCTGATGTGAGTGAAAGGCTGCTGTTATTACACTTTTATTTCCTGCTAACATTTGGACAGGGGTTGTACCAACCCCTTGACCTTGAATCTATATGAGCTGCACAATTTACTTACGAGAACATTTCTTTTCAAAAGGCTTCCTGTGAAAGTCTCTCTTGTGGGAGAAATTCATCTTCCCGCTATGACAGCCTTCCTGATGGCTATCAGAGAGGTCCCAGCCACGACTTTGGAGTGGGTTTGATTCCTCCCTGGATTTCACATCCTCAGCATCATGTATTACTTGGGAAAGAAACTCCCTGTTCCACAGCTGCACTTTTCCAAGTCCTCCAAGTTAAAGCAAACCTCTTCTCATTATTCTTTGACTTCACAACGTGGATCCAAATTTAAATTAGAGATCTGGATCAATACTTATAAAATCTGCTTGATGTTACACATGTTTTGTTTGTTGTCTAAGATCTTCATTTAGTATTACAGTCAGGGGGACACAGCTTGATGCTGATGCCATTTCCTCTTGCATTTCTCATTTATCGACCATATTTCCCCACCTCCTGTTTTAGCTGCAGGTAGAGATGACACTTTGTGTGAGTTTCTGCAAGGAAAGCTGCAGCAATTCTGTGGAAGTGTGATCACATTAATTCCTCTCCTCGTGTGGTATTTCTCTGCTCATTTTGTTTCAAACATGACTAAGAAGGTAACAGGTCTTCAGGAAGGGAGAGCACATCGTTACATCCAAGAGCAACAGTCAGGGTTGCTTAAGATCCCAAATAAGACACAAAAATTCTGTTTGTTAAGACCTGTTGGCTCCTCCTGACTTTACCTTTTTAGAAGAAAACTAAACCAGATCACGCTGTCAGGAAACCTGCACCCAAATCCCATCACAGCCATTTCTACCTGGGAGAGAACATCAGGCTTGGGACTGACAAAGCACATGTAGAACACATGTAGGAATTGGACACCTAAACAGTTTTGTACACACAGAACTAATTGCTAATTAGGTAACTAATTGCCTTGATTCCAGTGCAGATATGGACACCTCTGTGTATCTGGGGCTTAGTAAAATCAACAGCCTTCCAAGGACTCCCTTCCACACGCACTTGTTTTGGAGAATCCCAAAACCCTTTAAAGACACTAAGCCTTGGATTAAATTGTGCAAACTGATAATACCTCAAGTATTATTGTCTTTGTTTGTAGGCAGTGCAATGGATACACAAATAGGTAAACAAATTCCTCAAGCAGGAGTCTCTGATAGCACATATTCCAAAAATAAACCAAACCAAGTTTGCACGGCCATCAATAACAAGATATTCTTCCTCCTCCTTTTCATACATCCTTATCTGACAAAAAGTAGAATATATTTAATCCAAAGCCTGTAGCTCTTAATTTCATCCCTTGATTTGTTTGCTCAGTGATTATCTTCTGGGCACATTAGTGAGTGCACGTGCCCAAAGCACAGGAGAGACCGGGCAAAAAAACTCTCACTGACTGTCAAGGGAGCCGTGATCTGATATGGAGAAAGAAACAGATACAAAACAAATCAATTCAGAACCTTTACAGAAACACTCCTTGGCTTCAATCTCCTCTTGTAAACCAACTACAGATGCACATTAGCACTTTCTCTGCCCGAAACTTCTGAGCTGCTCAAACCACAAGGAAACCATGGGCTTTTAATACACCAATTAAATACCAAGAATGTGAAGCCCAGTGACCACATATCAAAGACAAAGTATCTACATGTGATGAAAAGTGTCTAATTTGTCTCATTATTAATATCTGTACTCAGTGTTGGGAAGGAGAGATGCCCACAAGAGATTGCCTCTAAAAATGGCCTGTAAATGGTCTGCATATATAGGATAACACCATCCTGGGCAGTCAGGACACACAACATTTAATTTCCCCAAGCAAACTGAAAATAGAACTGCCCAAAGGAAATGTGATTATCTGTTAGTTGTTTCTCCTTAAAGCCATGTTGGGTATCTGAGTGCCTGCCATGTATTTGTGTGATGAGCTCTGGAGCGAGCAGGTTTGTATTCGGAGGCTCATTTCCTTTTCATGTCAAGAACTCCTGAAAAGCTGCCTTATTTTATTTGTGAATGGCAGATTACCATGTCACCGGCCCGTTGCCATGGCAACACCAGCATCAAGTAGTAAGCAGATAAACAAGATCTTACGCGTATCCAGCCAGATCCCTCCCTTTGGATCTGCCATTCAGGGCAGCGTGTTCATTATCTGCCTCGGGACACATTTGCCTCCCATTTATGTATCTGTGCACTCCCCAGCACAGGTTTGTAGATTCAAGTTAACCCAAGATATTTAAGTTATCAGTTTAACAGAGTGAGCATCACAGACCACTTGGGCAGGGTAATAAATGGCCAGATTTTAAGAAACCTTTACGTACAGATTTTTTTCCTTTATACACGTTTGTGGCCCAAAAAAATAGGGAACAGGGTGATTTAACATTTCTCATTGTAGAGCTATCCCTCATTTCCCCCCTAAACTGACTCATGCCTCTCGAGTAGGTAACAGCATTAAAAGGCTGAAATTACATTTTGTTCTCAGCAAATTATGACAAGGAGAGTTTGGGTTTCTCTTTTACGAGAGCAGCCAGTAACTCAAGATCTTTTCTAGTAAGGAATGGATAATTTTAAGTGGTTGCATTATGTGATGTAGGAACAAGTGTTCCCTACAGATTTAACTTAATTTTTGTCAATGACTCAAACCCCTTTCTTTGTTAAATACTTGAAGATGCCCAGCAGAACCTGCTGTTCCTGGAATTAAAGTAATCAATGGATAATGTGGGCAAGAGGAAGGACACAAAACCCCATATAATCTTCTCATATTTTGGCCATTTCCCTCTGCACATCAATTTTATAGGAATGGAAAAGAGTTGATGTATCCTGCAGTACTGGGAGTAAAATGAATTTGTGCCTTCAGAAGATATTTCTAAGATAACCTATAGATTATATTCATGAAAGTGCACATATTTCCACATAGAAATTGAGCCAAATATAAATATTTATGAAATGAAAAAGGAGTCCGGCTTTCTTTTTTTTTTTGCTTCTACCTTAATATCATGTTAAAAAATAAGCAGTTCAGAAGGTATGAGAAATATTTACTTACTTATTAAACAGGGAAAGAATCTTGCTCTTATTCCAGAAACAGGAAACAAAATGTCACTGCAACAATTTTTTTTCCCATCTGTTTACTGCTCTAATGCTGTTTGATGGCTTAGCATTGGTTTACTGGATTACCTTTAAACAGGGCCAAACAGGCAGGATGGGTATTCAAATGGATGGCAAATCTATTCTGTGCAACAGTGATGTAACATAATCCAGGAGGATGATTTATTCCTCTGGAGTTCCAGTTCCCTCCATTGTGAGTTTGTGTTACGTACAACAGGCACAAGTCAGTCTAAGGACACTCCAATGGCACTGTGGGCAGGAAAAACAAGCTATGAATAATTCCCTGGGGGTTTTTTTCGTCCCTAAAACACATTCCTCCTGTGCTGCCTTCGCAGGAGCACGGCATCCCGACCGGCATGGGCTACGCGGTGGCTCCGCACCACTCCGGGGTCTATCCCGTGCACCTCCAGCTCTATGAGGCCTGGAAGAAGGTCTGGCACATCCGAGTGACCAGCACGGAAGAGTATCCACACCTGAAGCCTGCACGGTACAGACGGGGCTTCATCCACAATGGCATCATGGTACACTGCATTTCCATGTTCAGACACTTGTACTGCAGGGCCTCCCAACCGGGCTGGGCTTCAGCTTTCCCAGCAACCATTAAAATTCCCCGTGATCCAGGATTTGTAAGGACGCCAAAACGGTGTGTTTGTTACACAGCCAGTTTAGCAGAGGGGAAAAAAAACAGTCATACAAACTCAGGCAACTGCAAATGTGCTTGTGGTGCCATCAACTATCAACTCTGGGAAAGTCATTAAACTGCCTAAGACCTGTGCTTCCAGCTCTGCTTCATCTTTATGCATGAAAGGATTAGAAATCCATCACCTGGGAAGGTGGGCAGGTGTAAGTAATCTCCTCCTGCAAGGATGACACTTCTCCAAGGTCCCAGTGTCAGCTTTGCCTCAGAAATTCCCAGAGCCAGGGATTGGGATACCTGCCTGACTGCTCCAGACCCTGCATGTGTGTGAGGAGACAGAAGGCTCCTCACACACACTTCAAAGTGCACAGAGGGCAGAAAAGTGTATAAAATGATTTGGCCTGTCCCATATTCCAAGGGCAGGTCCCAGGATGGTTTCAAGTCCCAGTTGATCTGAATATTCCCTGTGCACATCAAGCCAAAATTGTGATCCCCTAAACAAGGCAGAAGGAATGTCCTAACCCCAAGTTCCTGCACAGAGTCCAATTCCTACTGGAACAGACTCAAAATCAGCTGTGTGTTTACACATATATCCAAACGCTCTGCTGAATGTGGGTTTAGTTTGTTGTTTTCACCGAGTAAAAACATCAAAATATTGAATTAAGGGAGACAAAAGTCCTTCCCCAGGTCAGTTACGTCTCTGCATGGATTAGGCAATCCCTGTAAGGCGCTGTTCTTTTGTTCTCAGGTGCTCCCTCGACAGACCTGTGGCCTTTTCACTCACACCATTTTTTACAAGGAATATCCTGGGGGTCCTCAGGAGCTGGACAAAAGTATCCGAGGAGGTGAACTGTTCCTCACCATTCTCCTGAATCCCGTAGGTACCTCCTTTTGCTATTTTTTTGGACCAACAGGGGGGAGGGAGGGAGGGAGGAAGGGAAGGAAATCGGTTTTCCTGGATCTTGTTTGGGAAATAAAAAGCAGGACCACTTGCTCAGGGGTAACAAGCAGTTTAAGAAGAAAGGAGAACAATGCCTTCTGCCTATTTTGAACTACAGCTGTCTGCAACAAGTTCCTGGAAAATGCATGAATTTCACCTTTATGGAGAACCTGAAACTGGGAAGAAACTTGTCTGAGACAGCAAGGGTAGAAAAACCTGTGATCTTATTCCTCTTTTCCTTTCTTCCACAAGCCTGGCTCCCCAGGCACTCCTGATACAGCTCGGTGGAAACCCCAGGGCTCAGGCCTCATATCATTCCTCCACCACCGGCTCTTAAAAACAGGTTTTGAGCAGCTAAAAACTCTGATGCCATTTAAGACAGCAGCCTAAAGGTGCAAGGAGCAAGGACAACAAAACAAAAAAGCCATATATCAGTTATTTTGTCCTCCCTTGGTCCTGCTCCACCCAAAGAAGCTGCGCTAGTCACAAGATAAATGTCCCTTGTCTTGCCAGGTGGCCTCATTTTCAGTGGGTTTAAATTGCAGCACTCATTGACTCCTCTGCAGAGCTAAAGAAACTTCAGGTGGAGCTGACTCTCAAATTCAGGTCACTTTTATTTAGACACCTAAATATAGATTTTTTTTTTGATTTTTTTTTTGGTATTATATAATTAGATGCTTGGGGGTGAAAATTTTGGCTGGGGAGCTAAGTTGGCATCCGAGCCAGATTCAGTGGGCTTAAAGAAATGGGACATTTCTATCAGGAATTTGTCTGTACCACCCACGTGACACCTAATTTGAGAATAAAATACATCCCTGCTCTTTCTCCTATCTCTCCATTCCTTGCAGTTCTCTCAGCCTGGTTTTCACTCCATGAGTGCTGCTTACAACAGCCCAAATTCCTCAGCCAATCTATGTCCCAATAACTTGGGAGCAGCACACACTGGAATGGCAGCAGGACATTTTCCCATCTTATATCCTGGAAGCTTTTCACACACCTCCCTTCATTAATAAGCTTCCTTGGTGTTTGGATATCAGCTTGGATAACCAGCACCAAATATATTCACTAGTCAGGGAGAATAAGAGTACACCTGATTGTAGTTCAGTTCAGGTCCACATTATTTACAGACTGGGCTTCCAGAAGTGAAAAGCCATCATTTACACCCCAGTAAATAGAATTATTACATGTCTCTCCCACAAACAGTTCAAGACAGACTTTCTCAGACTGTTTCAAACTTTAGGAAGAATCCCAGTGCCTTGATTAAAATCAGCACACCACCTCCTTTGGCTGAGAGGAAACATTTTTTTCAAGAGGGGTTTACAGGAACCCTGTCCCTTCCTCGGGCCGTAATTAGCAATTGCAGCAAATGTATCACAAACAAATATTAAGCTCAAATACCAAAAATGTTTGCACTTCCCTGCAGTTGGTTAAATTAGAAAGTGCCCAAGTGACACTGCATTGGAACAAAGACTTTGCACAGAGACTGTCAAGGGGATCTTCCGACGGGATTCTTTTTAAAAAATGGCTGCTACTGAGCACTCTGTGGCTCAGAGAGATATTTTCACTTTCTAATTTATGAATCCTGAAGATGAGTCACGTCTGGCAGAGATGATTTAGTAGCAGGCAGACCGACAGAAATCAAACCAACATCCCTTTGAGCTTTAATGAGGGTGACAGGAATCCCAGCCAGACCTTTCCAGGCTCCAGCTAAGGCAGGGAGTCTGCAGTTTGGGGGGGACTTATTCTTTGCATAAACACTTCAAAGTAAAGCTCATTAAAGGTAGTGGGAAAGTCTCAGTGAGCAGACTGGGCTTGAAATAAACCCAAATAGCGAAACTCTTCCAAAAGGTATCAATCCAGCCCCCCTCCGAAGGGTCTCCCTCATTTGGAGGCTTAGAACAATAACAAGCTTCAGTTGGATGCACAAATAAGAAATACAGGTGCAGTTTGGGGTAGAAGATGAGATATTATTGCCTTCTTGGGGTTTTCCTTCACAAACAATGGAACGTTCAGCTGAAATGTTTTTATCTATCTCCCTTGCCAGACCAAAGCTGGATGTTTAATCAGTGATAAGTTTTATCATCTCTGATGTTATTTACTATGTGGTCTGACAAACATCAAAACCCAGTTACTCACTACAGCTTAATTAGGACAGACCTCCCAAAAGTTGTAGCATCAGCACTTCCACATGAGCAGTGAAAACAGAGCAGCAAAACCACCACAATCAGTAGAAAGAAGGGAAGGGAAAATATGACATCTAAACAACTTCAGTCAGCCAAAGTGTAAAAACTGGTTTTGTGCCTAATCTAACTATAATTAAAATTTTTTTTTTATGGCATTACATTCATTTTCAGCTTTTTTTTTTTTAAATTCTACTTCTCATTATTTACTTAGCTTAGTTGTCCTTTAGAATGACTTTTTCTTCCCACAGAATATATCCAAAGCCCCCTTCCTCTCTGCTCACTTCAGCAGTTCTGTACCACGTTCCTTTTCTCGGCCTCCCCTTTCTGTTTCAATACATTCCCATCAACTTTCCATGCAATTCTGGTTTTGACACACTCCATAGAGAAAGACAAGCTAAGCAGCACTAAAATCAACCCTCTGGTAACATACAATTCCCAAACTGAAATACTTTCAGCAGCAAAAAGCAAAAAAAAATCTCCATCGGAGTTGAAGTTTTAAGGGGGATTTTCCACCTCCACATGTCAGGCTCAAAACTGAGTGGGTTCAGCCCATGTTCCCTGACTGTTGCCCTTCATTCAGTCTCCTGGGGAAAGCCCTGACATATTTAAAGGGTGCTTTTACAAATTGTTCCATTTATCACCTCTCCAGCAGCCACAGGGTCTCCCACTATCTGTCTGCTGGCTCGTCTCCTTTACTCCCCTGCTCCATAGGCCATAAACAACAGCCATAAACATTTAACAGCCAAGATAAGCTAATAAATACAGCCCTAAATATTATTGCCCCTACAAACAACAGCCAGAGAGTCATTTCTCCTAAAAAACCCACCTCTTTAATCCGGAGAGCTTTTTATTAAGCCAGCAAGTGACAGCATGAAAGGCACCTCTGTCAAACACGGTCTGTTTTTATTCCATCTCCCACTGTCTCCTTTCCATAATTCCACCATGACAATGTGCACAGGCCATTGCTGCATTTTATTTTTATATATATATATATATATATATATAAATCTCTCCTGCCTCACCACAGAGGATCTAAAGTCGGGCACACCCTGCACAACACTGTCCACAAAGCCAACAAAACACATCGAGAGCTCAGCCCATTCCTAAAGTTCATAAAAACAGGAAAGCAGCAGGAAGAGGGAAAAGTTAAACACTTCTTCAGACTCCTCTTCCCCCTTCAATCAAACCTCCCTAAGAAGCTTTAGCTGGAGGTGAAGTGTGGCAGATGAATTTCAGGAAGATTAGCTCCTTTTGCTGGAATTTGGCTGGCGAGAGCGAAACCGGGCTCGTGATTGAAAGGTAACTTTGAACTCCGCTCAGCAGAAGCTACAGGCAGCCCATAATAATGTACATTATTATTATTCCAACTCCCCTGGAAGTGGCATGGGATGCTTTTAATTTTGAAGGCCACTTAAATGCATTTACATTTTTAAACTCTCACCGTAACTAAAGGGTTATTGCTCGTTCCCAGCCCGTCGGAGCTGGGTTCTCCATGCCCCACATGGGCCATACTTGGAAGATTTTCTTCTTGTTTCCTGCTCTCCCTCATCACAGAAACAGATGAGAATCACACACGTTATTGCTTCAGCATATTAAAAGTAAATGCAGGGAGGGGTTAATTTATACCTTCCACAAGAGATTTGGGAGTGTTATTATGAAACATCTTGAGTGTTAATAATATTTTTCTTCTTATTTGCTTTGTTTCTCTGAGCAGAGCTGCAGAAAGAATAAAAAATAACCTTGGGCTTTGGAGGAAATGTGCTGCAATCCAAAAGTAATTCATAATGCAGCTCTACTAAGGGCCCTGTGAATTGAGCATCTCAGCATAATTTGGAGACAGGAAAAAAAAAAAAAAGGAAGCAACCTCCCCACTAAAAAAAGTCAATATTTCTTGAGCTGCAATTAGCAAGGTATTGCCTACAGGGACAGATGTGTCCCTCTCCAACCTGACAAGAGGGAAATGTTCAATCTACCAAATTAAAAGGGAGTTTTGTTAGCGAGTTCATCAGAATTTATCTTTGTGGTCACAAACACACCGAACCAACTCCAACCTTCCTCAGGCTTTTGACTCTTTCTTTTTTTCTCCCCCTTGTAAATCATTATTTTTCCCCCCTCATCCCACATGGCCACCCCAGCTGCACAGAGCTGGCAGAGGAAAAATATTATCCCGCGGAAACTCGAGCCTCCAGGAGCAGATTTAGAAACTAATTAGCTCGAAACTCGGAGCATGAAGAAAATATCTGAAGGATAACACATCCCCTCTTTCCTTCTTTCATGACATTTCCCTGCTTTGTGCAGGCTGATGCTCCACACCACACGTTTTTTAGCAGAATTACTCCCCAGCAAGTTGGGCGATGGCAGAAACAGCAACAAAAAACTGCATCCAGCAAGGGGGTTACTGGGCAAAGAGAGAGGGAGGGAATCTGTTACCTTCAAGCCCACACCACCCACGAATTTATTAAAGTGTCAGGAGCAAGCCTTTAAGGTAAAAACCAGCTGACTCAGAATTCCCTGATTATTGAAAATAAATCCTTAATAGAAGCAAATGGACAAGAGCGAAATCTCCTCGCTGTGTTCGCCAGTCAAAATTAATTGGGAAGTGGCTGATTGGAGAATATTATATCCTCTAGTGAACTGAAAATGCTGGGTTTTGGGTTTGTTTTTTTTTCCTCTGAAACCAAGAGTGGAGAATTAAATTAACTCTGAGGTTTGTTTGCTCAGGGTAGGCCACCAAAATGGATTAATTAATCATCA